AGTGGTGGTCTTGGTATTAGTATTCTGAGACTGTTGCATGTGTGCTGTGGGTTAAAGCAAATAAGTAATAACCTAATCTGCCTCCTAAGTAGCTGGGACTACAGGTGTGCACCACCATGCCTGGCTAATGTTTGTATTTTTAATAGGGTCGAGGTTTTACCACGTTGGCCAGGCTGGTTTCGAACTCCTGACATCAAGTGATCCACATGCCTCAGCCTCCCAAAATGCTGGGATTATAGGCGTGAGCCACTGGACCCAGCCTAAAAGGGTGAACTTCATTAAACATTTATAAATTAGATGTGATGTAGGGATTTGCTTCAAAAATACTATAGAAGGCCAGGTGTGGTGGTTCATACCTATAATCACAGCACTTTGGAAGACTAGGTGGGAGGACTACTTGAGCCCAGGAGTTTGAAATCAGCCTGAGAAACATAGGGAAACCTTTACTTCTACAAAAACTTTTAAAAAAATTAGCCAGACATAGTGATGTGTTCCTGTAGTCCTGCCACTTGAGAAGCTGTGTTAGGAGGATCTCTGGAGCCTAGGACTTGGAGGCTGCTGTGAGCTATGATCATGTCGCTGAACTCTAGACTGAGTGACAGAGTGAGACAGAGTCTCATGATAATAATAATACAGAAGCCAGGCATGGTGGCACACACCTGTAATGTGTGCATAGCTAGCCACTCAGGAGGTGGAGGCAGGAGAGTCCAGGAGCTTGAGCAACATAACAAGACTCTCTGTCTCTCTCTCTCTCTCTCTCTCTCCTCTCTCTCTCTCTCTCTCTCTCTCTCTCTTTGAGATGAAGTCTTGCTCTGTTGCCCAGGCTGGAGTACAGTGGTGCAGTCTCGACACATGGCAACCTCCTACTCCTGGGTTCAAGGGATTATACTGCCTCAGCCTCCCAAGTAGCTGGGACCGCAGGTGTGTACCACCACACCTGGTTAATTTTCGTATTTTTAGTAGAGGCAAGTTTTCACCATGTTGGTCAGGCTGGTCTGGAACTCCTGACCTCAGGTGACCCACCTGCCTTGTCCTTCCAAAGTGCTGGGATTACAGGTGTGAACCAGCGTGCCCAGCCAAGACCCTGTCTCTTAAAAAAAAAAAAATTAATGCTTAATTCTCCTCTTGAATGTGAGCAAATAATGAATATGGTAGAAGTGATAGTATATGACTTCTAAGAGTAGGTCGCAGGAGACACTGCTTTCTCGTTGCTTTCTCCCTGAGATCCCTTGCTCTAGGGGAAGCCAGCTGTCATGTCATGATGACACTCAAGTAGACCTATGGAAGGTTCCATGTGATAAGGAGTGGAGGCCTTCTCGTTTCTAGCACTAACTTGCCAGGCATGTGAATGAATCATCCTGGAAGTAGATTCTCCAGCCCCAGGTAAGCCTTCAGATAAATGCAGCTTCTGGCTGGCAGCTTAAATGCAACCTCATTAGAGACCCTGAGCCAGAACCACCCAACCAAGCCACTGCCAAATTCCTGACCCGTAGGAACTGTCTGAGATCATAAATATCTATTGTTTTAGGCTACTAAGATTTGGCATAATAGCAATGGATGACTAATTACAGTTGCTGAATCTAGGGGAAATTTTGATGATAAGCAGAGTATTTCTTTCTTTATTTTTAATATATATATTTTACTGCATTTTAGGTTCTGGGGTACATGTGAAGAACATGCAGGATTGTTGCATAGGTACATACATGGCACTGTGGTTTGCTGCCTCCATCCCCATCACCTGTATCTGGCATTTCTTTTCAAATTATCCCTCCCCAACTCCCTACCCGCTCACTGTCCCTCCCCTGGTCTCCCCCAACAGACCTCAGTGTGTGATGCTTTCCTCCCTGTGTCCATGTGTTCTCATTGTTCAATATCTACCTATGAGTGAGAACATGCCATGTTAGATTTTCTGTTCTTGTGTTAGTTTGCTGAGAATGATGGTTTCCAGGTTCATCCATGTCCCTACAAAGGACACAAACTCATTGTTTTTTATGGCTGCATAGTATTCCATGGTGTATATGTGCCACATTTTCCCTGTCTAGTCTATCATCGATGGGCATTTTTGTTGGTTCCAAGTCTTTGCTATTGTAAACAGTGCTGCAGTGAACATACATGTGCATGTGTCCTTATAGTAGAATGATTTATAATCCTTTGGATATATACCCAGTAATGGGATTGCTGGGTCAAATGGAATTTCTATTTCTAGGTCCTTGAGGAAGTGCCATACTGTCTTCCACAGTGGTTGAACTGATTTACACTCCCACCAACAGTGTAAAAGTGTTCCTATTTCTCCACATCCTCTCCAGCATCTGTTGTCTCCAGATTTTTTAATGATCGCCATTCTAACTGGTGTGAGATGGTATCTCAATATAGTTTTGGTCTGCATTTCTCTAATAACTAGTGATGATGAGCATTTTTTCATATGTTTGTTGGCCTCATATATGTCTTCTTTTGAAAAGTGTCTGTTCATATCCTTTGCCCACTTTTGAATGGTTTTGTTTGTTTGTTTGTTTGTTTGTTTCTCGTAAATCTGTTTTAGTTCTTTGTAGATTCTGGATATTAGCCCTTTGTCAGATGAGTAGATTGCAAAAATTTTTTCCCATTCTATTGGTTGCCGGTTCACTCTAATGACTGTTTCTTTTGCTGTGCAGAAGCTTTGGAGTTTGATTAGATTCCATTTGTCTATTTTGGCCTTTGTTGCCAATGCCTTTGGTATTTTAGTCATGCGGTCCTTGCCTATGCCTATGTCCTGAATGGTTTTGCCTAGGTTTTCTTCTAGGGTTTTTATGGTGTTAGGTCTTATGTTTAAGTCTTTAATCTATCTGGAGTTAATTTTAGTGTAAGGTGTCAGGAAGGGGTCCAGTTTCTGCTTTCTGCACATGGCTAGCCAGTTTTCCCAATACCATTTATTAAACAGGGAATCCTTTCCCCATTGCTTGTTTTTCTCAGGTTTGCCAAAGATCAGATGGCTGTAGATGTGTGGTGTTGCCTCTGAGGCCTCTGCTCTGTTCCATTGGACTGTATGTCTGTTTTGGTACCTGTACCAGGCTGTTTTGATTACTGTAGCCTTGTAGTATAGTTTGAAGTCAGGTAGCATGATGCCTCCAGCTTTGTTCTTTTTGCTTAGAATTGACTTGCCTATGTGAGCTCTATTTTGGTTCCATATGAAGTTTAAGGTGGTTTTTTCCAGTTCTGTGAAGAGGGTCATAGGTAGCTTGATGGGGATAGCATTGAATCTATAAATTACTTTTGGTAGTATGGCCATTTTCACAATATTGATTCTTCTTAACTATGAGCATGGAATGTTTCTCCATCTATGTCCTCTCTTACTTCCTCGAGCAGTGGTATGTAGTTCTCCTTGAAGAGGTCCTTTACCTCCTTTGTTAGTTGTATTCCTAGGTATTTTGTTCTCTTTGTAGCAATTGTGAATGGTAGTTGGCTCTTGATTTGTCTCTCTTTAAGTCTGTTGTTGGTGTATAGGAATGCTTGTGATTTCTGCACATTGATTTTTTTTTTTTTTTTTTGAGACGGCGTTTCGCTCTTGTTACCCATGCTCGACTCACTGCAACCTCCACCTCCTGGGTTCAAGCAATTCTCCTGTCTCAGCCTCCCAAGTAGCTGGGACTACAGGCATGCGCCATCATGCCCAGCTAATTTTTGTATTTTTAGTAGAGATGGGGTTTCACCTTGTTGACCAGGATGGTCTCGATCTCTTAACCTCATGATTCACCTGCCTCGACCTCCCAAAGTGCTGGGATTATAGGCGTGAGCCACCGCGCCCTGCCTCTGCACATTGATTTTGTATCCTGAGACTTTGCTGAAGTTGCTTATCAGTTTAAGGAGCTTTTGGGCTGAGATGATGGGGTCTTGTAAATATACAATCATGTCATCTGCAAATAGAGACAATTTGACTTCCTCCTTTCCTCATTGAATACCTTTATTTCTTTTTCTTGCCTGATTGCTCTGGCTAGAACTTCCAATACTATATCGAATACAAGTGGTGAGAGGGGGCATCCTTGTCTAGTGCCAGATTTCAAAGGGAAAGCTTCCAGTTTTTGCCCATTCAGTATGACATTGGCTGTGGGTTTGTCATAAATAGCTTTTATTATTACTATTATTATCATTTTTGACATGATGCATTTTTTTTTTTTGAGACGGAGTTTCGCTCTTGTTACCCAGGCTGGAGTGCAATGGCGCGATCTCAGCTCACTGCAACCTTCGCCTCCTGGGTTCAGGCAATTCTCCTGCCTCAGCCTCCTGAGTAGCTGGGATTACAGGCACGAGCCACCATGCCCAGCTAATTTTTTGTATTTTTAGTAGAGACGGGGTTTCACCATGTTGACCAGGATGGTCTCGAACTCTCCACCTCGTGATCCACCCGCCTCGGCCTCCCAAAGTGCTGGGATTACAGGCTTGAGCCACCGCGCCCGGCTTTTTTTTTTTGAGATGGAGTTTCACTCTTGTTACCCAGGCTGGAGTGCAATGGCGCGATCTCAGCTCACCGCAACCTCCGCCTCCTGGGTTCAGGCAATTCTCCTGCCTCAGTCTCCTGAGTAGCTGGGATTACAGGCATGCCCCACTATGCCGAGCTAATTTTTTGTATTTTTAGTAGAGACAGGGTTTCACCATGTTGACCAGGATGGTCTCGATCTCTTGACCTTGTGATCCACCCGCCTCGGCCTCCCAAAGTGCTGGGATTACAGGCTTGAGCCACCGCGCCCGGCCGACATGATGCATTTTATTATGCTTTTAAAAACTGTACAGGCCTGTAATCCCAGCTACTCAGGAGGCTGAGGCAGGAGAATTGCCTGAGCCCAGGAGGCGGAGGTTGCGGTGAGCCGAGATCGTGCCATTGCACTCCAGCCTGGGTAACAAGGGCGAAACTCCATCTCAAAGAAAAAAAAACTGTACAAAGACCACATGTGCATGAGTTAAAAAACACAAAGGGAATGTAGGATGTTAAAAAAGAAATACAAAATAAATCTGAGACATAATCGTTAACACATCAGACCCAGTCTCACTGCAGAGAGGAGGAACCATGACATTACCTTGCCGGCCATAGGCAGGCGACTAAATGTGCATGGATATGGTACAATGTCTGCGAGGTATTACAATAAATAAATCTTTATTAGCTGTTCAATAAAGTCAGCAGTGGACATTACCATTTTATTGTCAACAGGGAGACTCCATTGCTAGCCTCTTTTTGCCTCCGATGACTTTCTGTGAGGGTTTTTCACATTTAACAAAAGTAGTACTCATAGTTCTAAAAGTGGTTTCTCACTGTCCAGTTTTTCTTCAGCTTCATCAGATCCTGCTTCAGATTCAGAAAGGGAATAAAGCCGGGCGCGGTGGCTCAAGCCTGTAATCCCAGCACTTTGGGAGGCTGAGGCGGGTGGATCACGAGGTTGAGAGATCGAGACCATCCTGGTCAACATGGTGAAACCCCGTCTCTACTAAAGATACAAAAAATTAGCTGGGCATGGTGGCACGTGCCTGTAATCCCAGCTACTCAGGAGGCTGAGGCAGGAGAATTGCCTGAGCCCAGGAGGCGGAGGTTGCGGTGAGCCGAGATCGCGCCATTGCACTCCAGCCTGGGTAACAAGAGCGAAACTCCATCTCAAAAAAAAATAAAAATAAAAAAATAAAATTAAAAAAAAAAAAAAAAAGGGAATAAAACAGACCATCAGAAAGACCACCAGGTATAAGTGCTTCCCTCTCTGAAGCATCCTGAACTATCAGGAGTCTGTTTTCTTCTGCTCCTTGAGGTAACACTTTGAAATCCAGGAACCACACATCTCGATCCAAGCAAGGATGAATGAAATGATGGGCAGCACATAGCCAAAAGCCCCTTGAGAGAAAAGCTTTGAAAGGATCACTTTTGCTAGTAAAAAGGCACTGGTCACTGCCGTTGTCAATGCTATTGCCCACCAATGGGCAGCCTGCACACAGCGTATGCAAGTATTAATATTTTAAATCAAAAAACAGCCAAAAGAAATATATCAAAATATGAAGAATAGTAGTCATACTGCATCACCTTTTTCTCTAATGTTTTCTCAATGCCTCCATTGACATTTGATTCTATTATCCACAGTAATGTTACAAATAAGAGGTCAAAGGTGACAAACAAACAGAAAGTCCTCCTGACATCAGATATGCCTTTCTTTTCCCTTCCTTCATAAGACTCAATCCTGGCCATGAGTTGTGTGGGGTTGATGGAATGGATGTCTCACAGAGAAGCATGGGAGCTCTGGCTCCCGGTGAGAGCATTCTCCATGTTTTCTGGCTGGTGGTTCATCATGGGTTACAGGAGCCTTCTTCCAACCTCACCATCCCTAAAGAGAGGACACCTCAACGGGTGGTTCTGGGTCGGCCACCCCAGGCTGGCCCGGGGACTGCAGCTCCGTGGTTGCTCCCGGACCTGAGGGGTGGGGCTCAGAAGGGCGGGACCCGGCAGGGCAGGACCTGGGACCCAGTACACCGGGCAACACACAGCCCACCGCCCGCACCCAGCAGCCCTCGCTTTTATTATTTTGAGATAACGTTCTGTGGATACCTAGTTTATTGAGAGTTTTTAGCATAAAGGGCTGTTGAATTTTGTCGAAGGCCTTCTCTGCATCTATTGAGATCATCATGTGGTTTTTGTCTTTGGTTCTGTTTATGTGGTGAATTACGTTTATAGACTTGCATATGTTGAACCAGCCTTGCATCCCCGGGATGAAGCCTACTTGATCGTGATGGATAAGTGTTTTGATGTGCTGGTGCAATCGGTTTGCCAGTACTTTATTGAAGATTTTTGCATCTATGTTCATCATGGATATTGGCCTGAAGTTTTCTTTTCTTGTTGAGTCTCTGCCGGGTTTTGGTATCAGGATGATGTTAGTCTCATAAAATGATTTGGGAAGGATTCCCTCTTTCTGGATTGTTTGGAATAGTTTCAGAAGGAATGGTATCAGCTCCTCTTTGTATGTCTGGTAGAATTCAACTGTGAACCCATCTGGACCTGGGCTTTTTTTGGGTGGTAGGCTCTTAATTGCTGCCTCAACTTCAGCCCTTGTTATTGGTCTATTCAGGGTTTTGACTTCTTCCTGGTTTAGGCTGGGGAGGGTGCAAGTGTCCAGAAATTTATCCATTTCTTCCAGGTTTACTGGTTTATGTGCATAGAATTGTTTGTAGTAATCTCTGATAGTGGTTAGTATTTTTGTGGAATCTGTGGTGATATCCCCTTTATAGTTTTTTATTGCATCTTTTTGATTCTTCCCTCTTTTCTTTTTTATTAATCTGGATAGTGGTCTATTTTGTTGATCTTTTCAGAAAACCAGCTCCTGAATTTATTGTTTTTTTGAAGGGTTTTTTTGTGTCTCTATTTTCTTCAGTTCTGCTTTGATCTTAGTTATTTCTTGTCTTCTGCTAGCTTTTGAATTTTTTTTATCTTGCTCCTCTAGCTCTTTCAATTTTGATGATACGGTGTCGATTTTAGATCTTTCCTTGCTTCTTGTGTGGGCATTTATTGCTATAAATTTTTCTTTAGACACTGCTTTAAATGTGTCCCAGAGATTCTGGTACATTGTGTCTTTGTTCTCGTTGGTTTCAAATAACATCTTTATTTCTGCCTTCATTTCATTGTTTATCCAGTCAACATTCAAGAGCCAGCTGTTCCGTTTCCAGCAAGTTGTGCAGTTCTGAGTTAGTTTCTTAATCCTGAGATCTAATTTGATTGCCCTGTGGTCTGAGAGACTGTTTGTTATCATTTCCATTCTTCTGCATTTGCTGAGGAGTGATTTACTTCCAATTATGTGGTCAATTTTAGAGTAGGTGTGATGTGGTGCTGTGAAGAATGTATATTCTGTGGATTTGGGGTGGAGAGTTCTGTAAATGTCTATTAGGTTTGCTTGATCCAGGTCTGAGTTCAAGTCTTGAATATCCTTGTTAATTTTCTGTCTTGTTGATCTGTCTAATATTGACAATGGAGTGTAAAAGTCTCCCACTGTTATTGTGTAGGAGTCTAAGACTCTTGTATGTCATTAAGAACTTGCTTTATGTATCTGGGTGTTTCTGTATTGGGTATGTATATATTTCATTAGCTTTTTTTTTTTTTTTTTTTTTTTTTTTTTAGTTTTTTACCTATTCGGAGAGAATAACATTAGCTTTTCTTGCTGCATTGATCCTTTTGCCATTATGTAATGCCCTTCTTTGTCTCTTTTGATCTTTGTTAAAGTCTATTTTATCAGAGATTAGGATTGCAACTCCTGCTCTTTTTTGCTCTCCATTTGCTTGGTAAATCTTCCTCCATCCCTTTATTTTGAGCCTTTGTGTGTCCTTGCACATGAGATGGGTTTCCTGGATACAGCACACCGATGGGTTTTGAATTCTTATCCAATTTGCCAGTCTGTGTCTTTTGATTGGGGCATTTCGCCCATTTACATTTAAGGTTAATATTGTTATGTGTGAATTTGATCTTGCCATTTTGATGCTAGCTGGTTGTTTTGCCCATTAGTTGATGCTGTTTCTTCATTGTGTCGATGCTCTTTACCATTTGGTATGTTTTTGGAGTGGCTGGTACTGGTTGTTCCTTTTTATGTTTAGTGCTTCTTTCAGAAGCTCTTGTAAGGCAGGCCTGGTGGTGATGAAATCTCTGAGCAATTGCTTGTTCAGAAAGGGTTTTATTTCTCCTTCACTTATGAAGCTTAGTTTGGCTGGATATGAAATTCTAGGTTGAAAGTTCTTTTGTTTCAACATATTCTAAGGCAATGAGAAAACTCACTGGTCAAATTCACGAGAAAGGGCACAGGAGCCCAGATTCTCTTCAGTAACAAAGTCCTCTTCTTTGAGGGCTGAGAACTGTTATTTTCTCAAGTGAGCCCAGCTTTGCTTGTGCTCACATTTGATTTTCCCCATGCCCTCCAGCATGATGGCATGTCTTGCCTATTTCTTAAAGGGTTATATAATTATGCACATCAATATTGTGGGTCTTTTCCCCCTTGGACAGTACTTTCTGGAACTGCTAGATTTCCAGATGAGAGCTGTTTATTCTGGATAAGACTTAATTTGGTCAGCTGAATTCTCTTGGGTATGAAGAGTTTTTCTTACCCTTGGCCTACTTTTCATGGTTCTAAATATTCTTTTACAGTTTCAACAAGTACTCTGTAAAACAGAAATAGTTGAAAGCACTGCTTTCTTTTGCCTTCTTAGTTCCTTTGCTGTTTAATGATCTCAGTATGTCAGTTACATTGCCTTCTTTGAAAGCCATAACCACAGAGCTCTGCATTGCAAAGGAATGCTTTGTTATTGTCACAATATTCCTCGAGTGCCCTCTATGTGCCAGGCTCTTCACAGCTTGTTACAAAACCAGATGGTTACCCTAGAGGATTCAGGAAGGTGATGGAGATATATTCAGGGCCCTGTGGGAAAAAAAGGCACCAGTTTAGCTGAAATAGCCCAGGAAGCTCTGGGCTGCTCGAAGAGTCTTCTTTACCTTTTATTGCACTTGGATTCTAAGCCCCCACCCTCCCAAAGAGTAACAACTTAAAAGCAGAAGAAAATCACTGTAGTAAATCACCCTAATAGATCAACTAATTTCCTGTGTTCCCACAGTTATTGTGGAAGAAAAGGAGAAAAAATACAGGCAGAAGAAGAAGTTAAGACAGAAGCAAGTTTGACTCTATTCTCCTGGGCGTATCCTCCCTTTGTCTAATTTTGTATTCTACATTTTCCTCTTTTCCACCTTCCCCCAGCATTCACAATTATTTGTTTTAATTTTAAATTTTTAAATTTTTATTTATTATTTATTTTTGAGATGGAGTTTTTCTCTGTCTGGAATGCAATGGCACAATCTCGGCTCCCTGACACCTCCGCCTCCTGAGTTCAAGCGATTCTTCTGCCTCAGCCCCCCAAGTAGCTAGGATTACAGGCATATGCCACCAGGTCCGGCTAATTTTTTGTATTTAGTAGAGATGGGGTTTCACCATGTTGGTCAGTTTGGTCTCAAACTCCTGGCCTCAGGTGATCCACCCACCTTGGCCTCCCAAACTGCTGGGGATTATAGGCGTGAGCCGCCATGCCAGGGCACCACACCTGGTTTTTTTTTTTTTTAATAGAGATGGAGTCTTAGGCTGGTCTCAAACTCCTGGGCTCCAGTGATTCACCTTTCTCAGCCTCCCAAAGTGCTGGGACTCAGTGCATGAGCCAGAGAGTCTCACTCTGTTCCCCAGGCTAGAGTGCAGTGGTGCCATCTCAGCTCATTGAAACCTCTGCCTCACTTGCAGTTATGTGATGCATCCTAGAAGTTGGATCCTCCAATTGACAGTTTATCCCTGGGAGCAGATGAACCAGCCCTGCTCATTGCTGCCCAAATACCAGATCCTTGAGCAAAAGAAATTACTTTCATTGTTTTTTAAGCTACGTAATTTAAAAAAAAATAACTTTATGGTATAACTTACATACCATAGAATTCAACCATATAAATGTACAATTGGGTGATTTTTAGTACATTTAAAAAGTTGTGGCCGGGCGCGGTGGCTCATGCCTGTAATCCCAGCACTTTGGGAGGCTGAGGCGGGTGGATCACGAGGTCAAGAGATCAAGACCATTCTGGTCAACATGGTGAAATCCCGTCTCTACTAAAAATACAAAAAAATTAGCTGGGCATGGTGGCGCGTGCCTGTAATCCCAGCTACTCAGGAGGCTGAGGTAGGAGAATTGCCTGAACCCAGGAGGCAGAGGTTGCGGTGAGCCGAGATCGTGCCATTGCACTCCAGCCTGGGTAAGAAGAGCGAAACTCCATCTCAAAAAAAAAAAAAAAAAAAAAAAAAAAAAAGTTGTGCAACCATTACCACAGTTTTAAAACTTTTTTTTTTTTTTTTTTTTTTTTTTTTTTTAAATTTTAGAGATAGGGTCTCACTCTGCTACTCAGCCTGGAGTGCAAGTGGCAAGATCATAGCTCACTGTAGCCTTGACTTCCCAGGCTCAAGTGATCCTCCTACCTCAGCCTCCTGAGCAGCTGGGACTACAGGCACTTGCCACCATGCCCTGTTTTTTTTGGGGGGTAGAGACAAGATCCTGCTTTGTTACCCAGACTGATCTCAAACTTCCACGCTCATGTGATCTTCCCACCTTGGCTTCCCAAAGTGCTGGGATTACAGGGGTGAGCCTACTACTACCCTATTACGATTCACTGTGTACGCAAGAATGATCTTAGCAACCTGCTTGTACAGTAGTCTCCCCTTATCCAAGGTTTCAATGATTATAATTCCCTGCAGTCAACTGCAGTCTGAAAATATTAAATGGAAAATTCCAGAA